TATATATATATATATATATATATATATACACACACGCTTTCAATCCACCAGTGCTTGTATTTTTGTGTTTCATTGTGATTATCCGAACTTTCTCTTTGGGTGAATGAAATTACCATCATTTGTATGATTTCCTGCTAGTTAATAGTTATTATGCTAGAAGTAGAGGGCAAAGCTATGTGTTTGCCCTTTCTCGAGGTTGTTGTGAAATATGCATGATTGTCAAACCAACATGGCAATGACAATAGTGATGCTTGAATGGGGATTGTTGTAATATGATGTAATCTTTTGTATTTTGAAGAATTCTTTGGTAGGATATAGATAGGGTCAAATTTGTAATGTATTGTTTTACCTGTAACACTAATGTTGGAAATTTTGGCTACCTTCCAAGTCTAGAAATTAAAAAATGTTGTTGGAGGAAATATGTAGTGATTAGTGAATGAATATAACTCTACACAGGGTAAGAAGTCAAAAATACACAAGCATTCCGTTCACAAGAAGAAATAAACTTGCAAAGAATAGAATTAGGGCTTCATCAGAGCATCTGGGATCTCAGGATCCTGTAAAGAAAAATGAGAAGCCATCCTATCATCCATTTGAAGAAGTTGCTGCGTCAACATCAGAGAATAGTGAAGATGCTAGACTTACTGCAGCAGAAACAAGTAGAACAATTATTGAGGTACTCAGTTGTATTAATTTTTCTGATCAATGAAGTAACCTCACGGAAGGAGGACATAAAATTTGGCAAACATTTAGGTTTTCTCATTTTAGCATTATATTTATTTGTACAAAAGAGAGAAAGAAGAGCTTACTGTTTGGATTAAATGGTTGCTAGAGAACATCTTATGTTCCAAACCTGTGTTGTTGTTTTATAAAGAAAATTAATGATGGTAAATATAAGTGTTCAAACAAATAGCAAGTGTCTCCATTCCATTTTGAAAAGTGTTCTATTCACTTGTTTATAATTGATATAGCATTCCTTGTCTTTCAAAATGTATATAAAATTTGAAAATAAGGAAGAAAGCATTTTATTTTTAGGTTTACAGTTACATGGGTAGTTAATTACCAGATAACTAAGAACAAATGGTCTTTTGCGAGGCATCATTCTTTGTTTTGAGATCCATGAGTTAATTCAACTTTCAAGAAAACTGCTCTATAATTTTCCTTTCTGCAGCCTGTATTTGTTGAGTTTTTGACTTATGGAAAGTGAGAAGTTGACAAGGTTTCTTGCAATCCCTAGGAAGAATAGCGGGAAAATTTTGTTATGAAAAAATAATAATGATTTGTTAGGATTTGTCAAGTGTAAAGTCAAAATAATCCACTAGGTTTCTTTACAAAATTATTTAAGTTATAGAACGTCACTAACCGGATTATTGTTTCATTCTAGTAATAAACATTGAACTCATCACACCTGAATTTATATTCATTTTTGAAAAGCTAATGCCAAAAATATCTTTATATTGTGTTATATTAAAATCAGTAATTATTGAAGAAATTGTTTAGTAGTACTTACTGCTTGTGTATCATCTTAAATTTTAACAGACTGTGAGCTTTGGATCCTTTATCCCCAAGCTTAACTCATGTAATGAAAACTCTGAACTTGGGAGAAGAACTATATAAAGCAGCTTATCAGTTGCATCTGTTATTATCATAACAACTACGAATGCTAGATAATGATGATTGTCGTATATTATTTTTAGGTTAACAGCAAAGCAACACTGATGTTCTCAAGTTTGATTAGTGATGAATTTCATGAAAATATTATCTGGCCAGATTTGCCTTATTTGACTGATGAACATGGAAGTAAGTAATAGCAATATGACTGTCATTTAATATGTATTATTTTTCTTTAGCTTGGGTTTCAGCCACCTAATTAAATTCTATAAGCATTGCAGATATATACTTTCAAGTGAAGAACAGTGAAGATGTTTTGCAATCTCTAACTTCAGAAAATAATTTTGTGGTATGGCTGTCTCTACACTTTAGATAAATGCCCTGGAATTTCTTTTCAAATACATACAATCGGTTAGCATGATGTCTTCTGACATGCAGTTTAGGTAGACATCTATTCAGAGGAAAGGTTTACTTAGATTTGATGGCCTGATCTTTATGAATGGAATTTTATGTACAAAAAAATGTAATTTGGGAACTTTTGGGCTTCAACAATCAGTTTATATTCTCACTACTTCTTGTGTATCATTACACCATTTGAAGTATAAACAATCAAGCCTTACCAATCATTTGTGTGCTACAAATTATTTAGCTCATTTTTCATCTTTCACTCTTTCACTTTAGTCTCCAGTTCTGTTGCATTTTGCTAAGTTTGTGTCTCAAGACATGTAATAATGTTTGGTTTGTGGATTGTCTGTTCTGTATCTGGTTGTAGCAAGTCATTGTAGGTGTGAATTCAATGGAAATGATCTCCGAGATGGACTTATCAGGTCCTTCAGAAATTGACTTTGGGATCGAAGAAATTGATGATCAAGATACTGAGGATTTAGATGACAGCAATGAAGAGGATGAAGACGAAGATGAAGATGAAGATGAGAATGAAGATTATGATTCGGTCTGAATTTTCTTATATCATTCTGAGGCTTATATTCATTTCTGAACTGTACACACCATTACTATGAAAGATTATCCATTATTTTTTTGTATTATTGTTTGCAGGAATGGGTGGCTGTTTTTTCGGATGATGATGAGCAAGAAGACGATGATGAAACACTTGCAGACTGGGCAAAATTGGAGACTATGCAATATTCTCATCCAATGTATTTTGCCAAAAAGTTGGCAGAGGTAGATATCAAGTCAAATGTTCATTATATGAAGGAGTTTGGAATGACTTAATTGTGATTTCAAGAGACCTCATTCTAAAATCCTTTCTATTTCAATGTTCCCTAGGTTTATTCGTATTAGCTGACTTTATTATTATTCTAGATTGCTTCAGATGATCCAGTTGATTGGATGGAGCAGCCTCCAGCTTGTGTGGCTATCCAAGGGGTTATAAGACCTGCTTTTGTTGAAGAACATTCTACAATACAGAAGCATTTATCTACCAATCAATCCAGTGATACCAACAAAAGTAAATCCATAGAAAGTAAAGGGGAAAATATTGGTGTGATTAATGGTCATGTGCTTAATTCAGGATCTTCTGGAGATAATGCAGCACAGCAGGTGGAAAATGACTCTAATAGTGATAGCATCCCCTTTAGTGAGACTTCATTTTACAAATTGGAGATGATTAAGATTCAAGTGTTTTCTGCACAAGGAAATCCTGTAAGTTTGCCAACTTGTATGTGTTTGTGTGTGATTGTTTAGAGACAACAGCTGTGAACTTATGCAACTGATCATGCATCTTGTTCATATTTCCTTAAGCTGGTGATTTGCTGTGTTTTTCGCTGACTTCCTTAATTTTTAATTCTACCTAGTTAAGTAATAATGGATACAATTCATTGAAAAGGTTAAAATAAAGAGAGAAAAAAATGACAATTTCTAGAACAATTTATAATACTGACCTAAAATTCGGGCAGAGTGGTGTTGTTTCCTGGAACAACTTCAGTACTAAAAGAGGTGTGTCATCAGAAATGATTTATTTGTATTCACTGCAAAGCTGAATAACTATATAATTGATGGAGCGGAAACAAAAACATGGACAACATCAACATATAGCGGTGTGATATCTTAAAGTATATGTTATTTAGACCTCTTTCGGTTGAAAAGTAAATTTTTGTTCCGATTCTTTGCAGACTGCCCTTGAAATAGAAGACTACGTGAAAGCCCAACCCGATGCTATTGCACACTCTGCTTCTAAAATCATATCTCGTTTGAAAGTTGATGGAGAAAACACCTTGCAAGCCCTTAAGTCCCTGTGTTGGAGATGCAAGGGCCTTCAAGTGGAGGTAATATGTAAACTATTGGAATAATTTCTTTAGAGCACTTTGTTAGGTAGCTGTGTCTAAATCTCGTCAGCTGTCACCACTGAATGTTTTTCTAAACAGTTTTAGCATGTTTGGGATAGAGCCTATGATATTTTAAAGTTTTCTCATTCAATTCATCTAGAACATAAAGCTAATGCACTCTCTTACTCTCTGCATTTTGCTGCCGTAGATGGCTTTTAGAAATGGTGGTAGCACACCACAATCTTTATAAATGAGAAAATGCAGCTAAGGACATCTGTGTCTTAAATATAAAAATGAGGATAAACCATTTGGGAAGTTTCATTTCCTTATCATCTGTTTCATTTTCTTCAGAGTGCTTATGCACATTCTCATGTGTTACAGTCAATAATCACCTTGATTGCAATTTATTGCAGGAGGCACAACTTATCTGTTTAGACTCCCTTGGGTTTGACCTAAGAGTTTGTTCTGGGACTCAGATTCAAACACTGAGATTTTCATTCAAGAATAGGGTATATAAGTTGTTTTTCGTAACTATAAATTTTAATACCTTTATATTTCATATGTTATGATGTTGGTTCTGCTATGTATTGTACCTCCAACACTGACAAAATCAAGCCAGGTGGAGTACATATATCCTTGTATTTTATCCCCGATTATTTGTACTTATCAAATTACATTTGCAGGCCACATCAGAGTACAGTGCTGAGAGACAACTCAACGATTTACTATTTCCAAGAATTCATCCAAAGCAGCCAAAAATGAAGCAAACACATCAAAATGAATGCTAAAATCATCTAAATTGCATATCTTACATGAATTTTGTATGGCTTGTATGCCTTTGGTCAATGATTGTGTATAAAAGTGAAAGGCAGGGGAATATACCCCAAGCAGATGCCAATCAGGTTATGTAGATTGAATTTCATTCAATCATTAGTTGGAAGTAATTTTTTTCATTGTCTTGAGTCTTGACTACACTTTTGTATTCATCCTTTTTGTTGATTAATCTAAAACCTGCAAGTACTAGCAATTAGAGGCATTAGACATGAGGAACAGATGAATACAAAAGACCCCGAATTCTATTTGTAAGCCTTTTATAATCACATCATGGGATGCTATGGTCAATTCAGTGGCACCATGGAACCCAAAGTTTACCCTTTCGGAACTGGAGTTTCTACTGTATAGTGTCATGGCACAGATGGTAAGTGGAATGCTTAGTTATGAGGGAAATGGGCAACAAGCTTGACAACATTGTAGAGGACCAAAGGGGCAAGAGAGGGGAGGAATGAGATACAGCATGTTGTTGATGAATTAAGGATATGATAAAGGTTTAAACATTCGTTGGTGATAGGAAGCAACTTACAAGATGAAGCATGAACTTCTCTGTGGAAACGAAAAGGTGGTGACTGGTATTCTCACCAGTTAAAAGTCAATTGATATGAAATTTTGACGATTAGCGTCTGGTGAGTTGTTCTTTGATAGTTTAGTCGAGGCCTAAAAGAGATAAAATTAAGTGACTTAAAAGATTATATTAGATGGTCTTAAAATGTTATTGTATTTATTCATTTGTTAATATTAATTTTATTTTAATTTTTTAAAATACTAGATGATGACACATGTAAGGTTGTCATTCATTAGGCTTTGTTATTTAAAAGTAAGGTTTGCATTGTATTGAACATCAATAAAAATATCAATATTTATGTTTATCTTCCTATAATTTTCTTGTAGTCTTTTAATGGTAGATATTAGGAGTAGTGATAAAATAGCTAGTAACTTTCTATCAAATGGTGTTTTCATATGGTGTTTTCATTGTACCTACTCCACCTCTCATGAATGCATATAATCACTAATCCATGGATTCATTTCAACAATCGTACATTTACCAATCACAACTGTCACCCTACACGGCCAATTCCTACCACTCACCATACTACTTTCACCAGCTATCGCGGCAAGTCCCATGGTTACAACAGCCAAGTTTTCTAGCCTACCGTCATGGTTTCAAGATAAAATTAAGTGGTTTAAAGATTACATAAGATTGTCTTAAAATATTATTGTATTTATTTATTAATATTATTATTATTGTGATTTCCTAAAATACTAGATGATGATATATGTAGGGTTTTCATTCATTAGGCCTGCTATTTAAAGTAAAGTTTGCATTATATTGAACATCAATGAAATATTTCAGTGCATATTCTCTATAGCTTTCATGTAGCCTTTTAATGGTAGACATTAGAAGTAGTGATAGAATAGTTAATACTTTCTTATCATACGTGCTAAACATTTCGTTACTTTAGTTATTCTTGAAACTAAGAAAATATCACAGGGAAGAGAACATATCTGAAATGTTACCAACGATGCTTTTTATAGGCTTTTGGTGAGGCTCCCATTAACTACAATACCTTCCTTTAAGTGTGTGGTAGTTGACCACAGAATTAGGAAGAATAAGAGCCTCTCAAACTAAGAATTAGTGTAGCTTATGGAGTTGAATATTTGTGTATTACTTGATAAACTTGTTTGTCTCATGGCACTCAACTAGGGGAATTTTCGATGATTTGAAGAGAAAGACTGCTCAAACATATGCTATGGTGGAGTTATTGTCCGGGGCTCAACAAAAAGCTTCTAAAAACTTAACAATGATAGAGGAATGTTAAGTAGAAGAGCTAAAGGTGGCTTTTGATCGAGATATCGTCAAATGTAGATGAAAAATTCTAGTTACATATTATATTTTTTATTAGTTGAAATTTATTAGAAAACACAAAAAAGTGAGACCTAAATCTATAGTTATAAAAATTGCATTGGTCATCAAATCGGTTAAGGTATTAAGTCAATGGATCAAAGATTGAATCGATGTGTCACTAATTGAATAGTATTATTCCATCTCTATTAAATTTTTTCAAAAAAAAAATATTCATGTATGTATTTTATACTAATAAATTTCAATAAATTCATCTCGCATCTTAAATTTCAATTTCTATCTTATTTAAAATTATTTTTATTCTTAATCTATATGAAAAATACATGAGAAAAATTGCATATTAAATTGTATAAATTAATATAAATTAAAAATATAAATAATATATACATATGTATAATATACTTGTAATTTTGATGTCACAATAATATATGTAGTATGTGCATATGTATTATATTATTAAATATATAATTTAAAATTAATTATAATTATAAAAATAATTTAAGTTGCCCATATAACAATTAGACTTTTTTAAGTATATTGGTTGTGCAAAGGCAACTAAGGCTCTTCCCCTTACAAGAGTATAGGTTCCATTCTCATGGGGTCCACATAGGACTATTGATTGAACTGGTTTGATTCCGATTAATTAGTTCAACCAAAAAACCTGTCGATTCAAGCAAAGTTATAATGACTCATATCATATTATATATATATATATATAATC